GGGGGGGGGGGGGGGGAGGGTAATTCCTTATAAGAGGCTGATGGGGATGTGCCGCTGGATGGGGTCGCATTTTCACGACTGGGTTGACTATAATGGGGTAGCATTTTCAATAGAGTTACTAGAATGGGGTCGCAGATTTTCGGATTTTTGAGGCAAGAATGTTCTTCATATTTTCGGTTAGCAAACGTACCAGAATGTTTGTACTGTAGGTGAAAAGTAAAGTGTTCTTCATTCAGTTCAAAAAATGGGTCAATTTATTTTATTGTGACCTATTTAAAGGATTGATAAGGTAGATACATAAATAGAAAGTGACTAAGTTTGGGATCGCGAAAATTACATTTGCCAAAAAATGAACAAGATGGGTCTTTAATTGGCCAAAGAATAGACCATAATGGGGTAGGGGCTCTGAGAGGCCAGCGGCACATACCCAGCAAAAATTAATCCAAGTACCTCCCTTCCCCCGCGGGCACTATCGATGGCTTTACAGTTTTTTGTCGAAACCCTAAAGAAATAATTTATAACTTCTTAATAAATCACATGGCTAATGTCTGCCACTTCGAAGCTAGTTGTACTTCCCTCTTAGGGAAAAGAAGGAGGCGGTGCAGAGGGAAATTGGTAGTTATAAACAAACGGGTACATTGGTGTAAAGCTGGTATCACCCAGCGTCTTTTTATCGCCCTTGTCTTCAATTGACGCTCCACCGCTAACACACTCTACGAGAGCTGAAATCAAAAACAAGAAATGTTTCATAAGCAAAATCTTAGGTCAAAGAGTTCTGGAGCCAGTTTTTTTCTTTCATTTTATAAATTGATCATGACCCCTGTGAAACCTGGTCCAAGCTCTTCTTCCCCTTGGGCAATTTATTGGCGTGTAACCGAAAACATCAAAATGATCAGATCAGATGTGGGAAATGGTCTAGTGTAACCACACCAAAGTTTAGTGTAACCCTACGGGTAGCCGTAATTTTTGTGAGGGTGGGTGGGCGGGTGGGATTAATTTCGGAATACTACAGTAGTCACGATACAAAATGTTTCTTACCAATATTTGGATAATTCTGCGCAGGGTCACTATACTGTGTAGCGGCTGGTGGATACGCTGATGCTGCGTCAAATCCCGCCAGTGGTGGGGCACTAGGAGTCAAAGCAGCACCTGGGGGTGGGTATTGGGCTGGATGAAGGGGCGGCCGATATGGAACTGAGCCAATTGTGATTGGAATGTTTAATGTTGAGTTGGAGGCGCCCTTCACTCTAACTTTCAGCTGTTGAAAGGTGGCAAGAAAAAAAATAAGCAACGAAATAGAACTGACCTACAACTGTTGGCGTTTAACTCGATTTTATATCAACTCTGCACACTTCCCAGGTCTGTGAAAGACAGTGGGGAGAATAATTTTTTGTTGGCATTCCAACTCACCTTATTTGAGTATTTTCAGGATTCGTTTGGTAATGAATGAAATAAACCTCGGCACTTAAAGTCGTTATTGTTCCTTGCTAGCCGAGGTTTCAAGGCAAAGGAAAAAACGAAAAGAATGAAGGAGGGAGCCCTAATCCTATCTTATTCCCCTCCTAGCAGCAAAAATTACTTTTGAGTAACAGGTCGCCCCAAGCAAGGGTATCCAAGACAGTCTTCGATTCTGGATGCCACGCGGTGGATTCCGGATTCCAGGTACTGGATTCCAGTATTTGTCAGTAGAACTTGGATTCTGGATTGCAATCGTTAGCGGGATTCCGGATTCTTAAGCTGTATTCCTAGTTCCATAAGCAAAATCCTCCCGCATTCTGGAATCAGGATTCCCTTACATGGGGCAAAACAGGAATTCTTAGCTGTACTAAAAATATTCCATCACCAGATGAATTCACACCAGATGCAAGTCCTGTCATTCAGAGCAGAACAACTACGGTAGGTTTGACTTAAGGGAAAATGTTGGCAAATTAGGCAGCAAATGACAGTCATCAAAAAAAAAAAATTCAGCAAAATGGACAGAAAATGGGTAAATTACCCGTAGAAAATATGATATCTTTATGCAACTGCAACTCGTCATGGTTGGAGGCAGAGAGGGGACTGGAAGTGGTACCATTGGCATGCGAATCTCTTCCCCAGGCTTCACTCCTTCTTGAAACATGGATGCAACCTTATCTTCCCAGTGTTTTTTTTTTCCTAGAAATGAATGAAATTGATGATGGTGATGATGAAGATAAAAATCATGGGAGTAACTGCAGCCACTTCTGACCCATACCCCTAAAACAGTGGCTATGTGGCTATGGGACTCCTGTTGTGGTTTGCAAAATAATAGTTACAGTAGCATGAAAGTTGTCTTGCGGCTAAGTGCATGGCCATGCGGCTACGTGGCTTCAAACTGTCCGGGTGCTCGACAGTTCAGCCAAATTGGAGTATGATTTCAACTCCATCAAATAAATGTGAATAGGCAGCCTTTCAGGAATTGTTTTCTTCTCCAACTAGAGGTGAAGCTTTCTTGTGTAGTAAGGACTTGATCAATATGCTAGTATCATGTGAAAGTCATCTGCCAAAAGTTTTCATTTTAATGGTCACACCATAGTAAATCAAAAACAGACTCAAATGTTATAACCTCCTCACAAAACTCAGTCAATCACTCTGGGCCCAGTTGTTCGAAGGCCGATTAGCCCTTAACCCGGGGTTAAATTCAACCAGGGTTTCTCTTTCTTGTGTTCAAAAGCTTTCAAATCTGAATTCAAATGTCGTACAAACCCTGGGTTATCTTAACCCCGCTTTGAACAACTCGGCCCTGGTGAAAAGGTTAATATATTTCACAACTTCATAACTACAATATTGTGTAGCTAGTTCCCGCAGTGACTGCAATTCAAAACAGTTCTGAAACAAGTACTAAATCAAATTAAATTGACTATTAATTAATTTAATTTAATTACTTTTATTTGTTCTAGACTTGTTCTTACCGTGATGTTGGTTCTTATACGCACCACCAGAACCAATGAAGACAGTGAGTTGAATAAGTTGTATCTCCAGCCCAATAATCTCATTTTTTGAATTATTATTAATGACTGCAGAGACACCAATAGATTCTCCTGGATAGTAACCTCCTCTGTCAGTATAGACAATAGTACTGATTGGACCAGATACACAGCACAGGCATCCCACATTGCGATCCTCCTGGATCTGACAAGGTTGGTGAGGAAATAAGAGTTGAAATAAGTACTGGTCGTAATAGACTTGACTCAAGTCACTTTAGCCCCTACCTAAGGCTTAGTATACTAAAAAACTGCTACTATAACAGGGTTGGAAACTAAAATTTTGGAGCACTCGAGCTGACCAGTTTTCTCTTGCCCAGTCTCACAGACTACCATAAAAAATAGCCCCCTCTTTACTGCATGGAAGTTCACTCACCATGCCCTGAAACGGACCTTAATAAACAAAAAAGAAACAACACCATACTCAAGCAGTGTCAAAATTATACATTAAAGGCGGCGGTAAGATAGAGCCATTAGATCGATTAAGAGTCATATTTATGCCAAACAGGAAACGTGAATCTGTACTGTGAGCCAAGTTTTCCCACTTATGTCCATGCAGGTTTGCACACAGCAGCAAAAATTGCAGTTTTTCATGCACTTGAATTTAGTAATTTTGGCAAAAACTGCAATTTCTCCAATTTTTCGCAATTTTTGCTACTGTGTGCAAACTTGGACATTATCTCAGTTTTCTTGAGTTCTTAATTGCCGTTTACTGTTTATTACTTCTAACTCAAAAATACATAGTTTCACGCCAGTTTTATCCATAAGAATTGTTCTAGATAGTTTTTATCTTATTATTTTCTTCACATATACTGCAGACACCAAAAGTCAGATTCACATTGAGAATTGCCCAAAAAAGAAAATGAGCAGATAAAAACAGCTCAAAACAATCATTATGGATAAAAAATTGCGTGAAACTACTTATTTATGTGCAAAAATAATGAACAGGAAACAACAATAAGTATTGGGAGAAACTTGGTCACGTGGTACAAATTCATGTTTCCCATTTGACATAAACATGTGCTCTCTCCAATCTTTCTATTTTCCCGCATTTTGCGGTTCTGTGGACAATGCAGTGTATTTAATGACCAGAGATATTACTGGTACTTAGTACAAGTGTCTATTCTTCATGTAGCAATCATCAAAGCAGAGAGCATTTTGTGTGTTCATGAACCTGTTCTCAAAAATACAGACCAGGGTTGATGGACATTTCAGAATCGTAAGCTTCTGGCCAAAGGACAGACGCAGATTATTTTCATGTGGAAAGTGAAGAGTGACGTTAATTTTGAATTAACGTATTTTAGTGTGCCAGTATGAACACCGTACTCGCCAAACTGGGCATGTGATTCTTGATTTGTACTTGCAAGACCATTTTGGAACTTGCCTGGATGAACGGGCGAGCGCCAATGTCCAACCCTGTATAGCGGGCACTATTAAAGGGACTTTGCCCGTTTTTGCAGTACCTCATGATGCAAATACTTTGTTCATTATTTTAATATACCTTCATTATACTATACCAGAAACTCATAAGAGTTTCTGCCTATACAGAATAGGCTACAACTACAGCTACACCACCATGTTCATGTATACTGAATTCAAACGTGTTGCAATTACAACGATCAAAGATACTTGTATTTTTCAAAACCAATTTCTATTCCAAATCACATTTATTAAAATTAAGTCTACCAAAATATGTCTCTGCCAGTTTTCCTAGGTCCTGTTAAAAAAGTTACGATAACTTGGTAATTAATGTTTTCAGATTTCCTCTCTCTGTATTTTCTGATAGAGGAAAAAAGCTTCGTAAGAGTGAGCACAGACCCAATACATTGTATTTGATGTGCCAGGAAAAGATCATGATGTTAATTAAAACTTACTAAAAGCAGCGGTGTATTAATGTCCACATATTCCAACATAGTGAAAGCTGCTTTGGTAGTGATATCATTTCTCCATCGGCGGTCAACAATTCCTTTTAACCAGTAGCGAACATAGCCATACCTTCCTTCTACTGAGGTTGGCATTTTAATGTTTGGGATTAGAAACTGAAATGGATAGGAGTAATCACCAGGCTGGAGAACTGGGTTATTGCCACTCTGACCTGGAGCTGCCAATCAAAGTAGATAGATAGGTACACTTGGGTAGGTAGGTAGGAAAAAGCTTAGAGGATTTTCAATCCATCCCCAAGTTCATCCTAGCTTTTTAGAAATGGCCCCCATAAATCTTATGTATTGTGTAAGTTAGACCCTCCTCACCCACCTGATTGCAGTCGAAACTACTAAATTATCAATATTCTAGCTACATTGAATTGTACTAAATACAATATACTAAGTCGACTGAGTTGTGTTTATAAGGTGGGTGTTCACTATTTATGGCTGTTACTCTAATCGCGTGAAAATGGTTGACTACTATGATCTAAACTATGACTTTTCCTGTAATTCATTGAGTGACTCAATAGTTAATAGGTATATCGGCATAATGAAAAATAAATANTAGAAACTGAAATGGATAGGAGTAATCACCAGGCTGGAGAACTGGGTTATTGCCACTCTGACCTGGAGCTGCCAATCAAAGTAGATAGATAGGTACACTTGGGTAGGTAGGTAGGAAAAAGCTTAGAGGATTTTCAATCCATCCCCAAGTTCATCCTAGCTTTTTAGAAATGGCCCCCATAAATCTTATGTATTGTGTAAGTTAGACCCTCCTCACCCACCTGATTGCAGTCGAAACTACTAAATTATCAATATTCTAGCTACATTGAATTGTACTAAATACAATATACTAAGTCGACTGAGTTGTGTTTATAAGGTGGGTGTTCACTATTTATGGCTGTTACTCTAATCGCGTGAAAATGGTTGACTACTATGATCTAAACTATGACTTTTCCTGTAATTCATTGAGTGACTCAATAGTTAATAGGTATATCGGCATAATGAAAAATAAATACGTCTCTTACTGGAATCAGACCCTTCAACAATCACAAAAACTCAGTTTTTATTGTACAATCAAAGACGACCATATAGCCCCTCGCCGTACCTAGTTTTAACAAGAAAAAACCCTTCGAGAAAAGCATTAGTTAGATTTAGAATAAGTGGTCATCAACTTAGAATTGAAACAGTGAGCTGAACAATAACACAGCCCATAGAACTCACAATAACACGGTTTCCTAGTTTATTCCGCTTCAATCCGACTCACAAACTCTCACGAAACTCGATGAAAAAAAACTCAAAGGAAAACTCGCGCTCACCAAACTTTTTCGACCCGTCCAGTTCTAGCTTACTCAGCACGCACGTGCTCATTACCTTATTTGGTAGCCCTAGCCCTAATTTGGTAGTGCTGATCAACGTCACAAAACTGGGAGGGGTAGGGTTGGTAAATCTCTCGTACACAACTCCCCTAAAAATTGTAGCACGCAATTATTACAATCAAACGTAACTTGAAACTAATCCGATTTGCTATATGACAGTCCGGTTTATACTCTAACACAGTTCAGTTTATCAATTCTCTTCTTCTTGCAATTGTTGTGCGATTCTCTGAGCAACCCTCTGAGCTGCAGCTCGTGTTGGTCTCTGTTCTCCTACATCAGCTCGATCTCTCCTCCCCCTTTATGTTGGGTCAACATTCTCCACCACTCTGATTTCCAAGGGACAAACTAACTGAAGCGGTCGGTCAATAGTGTGCCTTTTGTGTAACAATGTCACCCCTCTAACAACGTCATCTTTGCCTTTGATAAGACGCACTACTTTACCCTTTCTCCATTCTCCGCGGTTCTTTTCGTCTCCAATGATGAGTACAATTTCTCCCACTTGAGGTATAGTTACCGTTTCCTTGTTAAGCCTGTGACTTTCCATTAGGCTGTGGACATACTCCCTTTTCCAGCGTTTCCATGCATTGGCCTTAGTATTTTCCAATCGTTTGGCCATCCTTGTTAGCTTCTCTGCATCTGAGCCTTCAGTGTCTTCTACCGCTTACACGTCTCGTGCCCACAGGATCATGTTTGGTGTAAGTACCGCCTCTTCCTCTCTCTCTGCTTCAACGTATGTCAAGGGGCGATTGTTCAAATTTCTTTCGATGTCCATGATGACTGATTCAAATGCTTCAAAGGAAAGATGTGACCTCCCCAAGGTCTTATGCAAGGTCTTCTTTATCTCCTTAATCAATCTCTATAGATTCCTCCCCACCAGGGTGACTTTGCAAGATTAAACTGCCAGCTGATGTTCTCACGTGCTAAGTAATTCTGGAACTTCTCACTTCTCCTCACTGTCTTGATCCAATCTGCTGTAGCCTTAAACACTTTGGCATTATCCGAGATGATGATGCAAGGTCTTGTTCGTCGCGAGATAAAGGCATTCAGCTTACTCTTGAATTCATCCGCCGTTTGGGTTCTTGCAACTTCCAAATGGACCGCTCTGGAGCTGGCACAAGTGAAAATAATGACATAGCACTTTCCTTCTTCTTTCTTACCGACCTTGTACAGGAAGGGTCCGGCAAAGTCCACTCCGGTTACTTCAAACGGTCTGCTCCCCTCAGTTCTATATTCTGGCAAAGCACTAGTTGATGGCACTCCATAAGGTTTGGTGGAGTATACTTTACAGATGTTGCAGTTCTTAATGACCTTCTTCACTTTCGCTCTCAACTTTGGTATCCACCAGTTCTCTCTCATGCTCGCCATCGTGTTCGCGACACCAAGATGCATGACCTGATTGTGGATGTGAAGGATAAGCTTCTCCGCAAGTAGACCATCAGGAAGGTAAATCGGCCGATATCCTTTAATTCTGCCTTCACACCTGAGAACTCCTGTACTGTTATCTTTGACCAACTTCCATCCTGGGGACTTCAGACATGTTTCCTCTGCTTTCTGAACTCGCTTTACCCAGTAGTCACTTGCAGCTGTGATTTCTTCCGTAACTAATGGCCCTGACATCTTCTTTGACTTGCTTCTCGCTTGGCAGTTTCTGATAAAACGTAACACCCATGCTGTTACTCTCATTGTACGCCAGGAGGTGCTTCTTTCTAACAAGGCATCCCACTCATCGAACATGCGCTCTTGTGTGCGGAGAACTGCTTCTTGGGTGACCTTACTCTCTTCATCTGCTTCTTTGGTGCTATTCAGCCTTGGCTGCTCCGGCCACCGCCTTTTGTCCAAGAGCCAATCCAGACCGGCAAACCAGTTTCCTCTCTCCATCTTCACAATGGTTGCCCCTCTACTTCCGAGATCTGCTAGATTCAACTCTGATGGGCAGTACTTCCACGTGATGTTCATTGGACCAGCGGTTTCTGCTATCTTCTTTACTCTGTTTGATACAAACACCTTCCATCCTCTCCCAGGATTGGTTATCCAATATAGTGCTACCATACTGTCCATCCAAATGTTGATGGCTTGAATGGGCCATTGCTGGAGAGCAGTGCTGAGGTTCTTCGCCATGTTTACTGCCATGTGGCCACTCACGAGCTCCAGTCTTGCTATTCATGTACTTCTCTTTGATATCCGCGACTTTGAGGTCAGAAGTCCTTTGGTCAGGCCTGCCTCATGTTCTACCACCGCAACAGCTGCTGAACAGCATGCTAGAATGCTGGCATCTGCGAAAATATGTAAATGGACTGCTCCTATCTCTCCAACAAATGAAGCAATACTTCTAGGCACTCTTACATCTTTAAGTTGCTTCGTCCACCTTAACCATTGGTTCTTCAATCTGGGGGAAACTTCTGCATTCCAGCCTTTCTTCTCATCGCAGGCTTCTCGATAAATATGCTTTCCCTCAGCCATGGTGGGCGAGATTATCCCGAGTGGGTCATAGACAGTTCCTAGGTAACTGAGTATAGTGCGCTTGGTCACTGGATGTTCTTGTGGAAAAGGCTTTGCAAGCAGCTCCAGTGTGTCATCATCCTTATTCCACACATGTCCGAGGATCTTGCTTGGATTTGGCATGCCTTCACTTTCAAGAAACTTGACATTAGATTCCCACTTGTGCACCGGAAACCTGGCAGACTCAAGTATGGCAGTACTCTCTTCTTTGAACCGCATGAGTTTCTCTACATTTCCTCCCGTTTGCATGAGATTGTCAACATAAGTGTTCTCCTTAAGTGCTCTCACTGTCTCTTCAAATTCTGACCCTTGTTGTTCAAAGTGATGCTGCAGAGTGGCTCCCAGTAGGAAAGGGCTTGCTTCAACTCCGAAAGGTACACGTGTAAATCTTAAATGTTTCTCTGTTCCTTTAATGTTGAAGAAGAATCTGACTGCATCTCTATCCTCCTCCTTAACACCTATCTGGAGAAACGCCTTTTCTATGTCTCCAAGGAGCAGACTTGTGGACATTCGCACTCTAATCATTATGTCCCAAAGAAGCGGCTGCAACGGAGGACCAGTGAACATGCAATCATAGATGCTGTAGGTAAAAGGCTGGGGCTTAGCACTTGCGTCAAACACCATGCGAACCTTAGTCGTAACGGCACTCTGCTTTACAATTGGCTTGTGAGGCATGTAGAACACACGTTCTCCAGATGGAATCTGAGGTGCTTCCTCGATTACCCCTGCTCTGAGTTGCTCTTCAATTATGCCACCATACTCTCCTTTCAGTTTCTTATCTCTTGAAAGCTTTCTCTCCACGTTTTAAAGCCGCTTTCTGCTAAGTGCTTCATTTGTATTCGTTAATGTAGCTCCCGGTATCCAAGAAAAACCAACCTCATACCTTCCATCTTGCTTTCTGACAACACTCTCTTTAAAGTCACGCAGAACATCCAGCTGATCATTCTCTCCCCGGTCCTCGACTCCCAGTAAATCCAAACTGTACAGTTTCTCATAGTCATTAACCTCTCTCATGTATATGCAGCTGCTCCCACTTCAAATCTTCTTTTCCTCGCGTAATTTCTTCCTCTCTATCATCTAAACACTTTTTAAGCCTCTCGTTTTCGCTAACAGATGCTGCATACTTTGATTTAATGTCTTTTCTCCACTGTCTCACCGTCCGAGGCGACAATCCTCGCTCAATTTTTAATTCTTCCGTCTGTGAAATAAGATCCGATAGCTTTGCAATGATTTTCACAGCTCGTTTGTTGACTATTTCCATCTCCGAATAATCCTGAATTTCGATCAGTTCATCTATCTCCTCCATGAAGTACTTAACCTTATCAATTTCCTTGTCGATCTCTTTTATGAGACGTTGTTCTTCGTCGCTCGGTTCGTCGCTGTCGCTCATGTTTGTTTTGACTCCGAGAAAGGATCACTTCGCTTCTCAAACTGTCTCGCTAGCGCTGTGTATTTCTTCAGCGCGTCCTGGTCTCGGCACCAAAAATGAGCTGAACAATAACACAGCCCATAGAACTCACAATAACACGGTTTCCTGGTTTATTCCGCTTCAATCCGACTCACAAACTCTCACGAAACTCGATGAAAAAAAACTCAAAGGAAAACTCGCGCTCACCAAACTTTTTCGACTCGTCCAGTTCTAGCTTACTCAGCACGCACGTGCTCATTACCTTATTTGGTAGCCCTAGCCCTAACTTGATAGTGCTGAACAACGTCACAAAACTGGGAGGGGTAGGGTTGGTAAATCTCTCGTACAACAGGTAGATACGAAAACATTCCTCGCAATGAAAGGATATGTCACTTTTGTACAAGTAACAAAATCGAAGATGAAATTGATCATTTCTTACTAGATTGTAAGGCTTATTCTTCAAATCACTTTCACACAATACTTTAATATCTCTTCTTATGAATTCTTCTGATTATTTAATTAACTGTCAATTAGTTTCGTTTATCTCGCAAAGCTTTGAATTAAGAACCAAATTAATATCAATGAATGAATGAATGAGAACTGTAACGTTTTGTAATGTTTTGCACGTACTAATTAGTTGAATTAGTACTTAAATTTAGTCTAATAGCTTTTGCAATACTGTAATTCCTTTATGGTCATGCAAATAAAGCATTTGGTGTTGTTGTTGTTACGTGAAAATTTCAACTCATACTTGTTACTGCTTTGTACTTCTTTCATGAATTCATTAAAATGACCTGCCAGGTACGTAACACTCCCAACCGAAAATGAACCTCTCCAAAATAAATCAAGATTTTGAAAATGAACCCCCAGCAAAATGGCCAGCCCTCCCTTACAAATAATAAACGAACAGCCCCTATGTGGTCCTTTGTGGGCTCCATTTTGCATCAAATACATTGCACCTAGTCCCAAAGGGAGGTAAATGACCGAGGTATGCCTGGACATGGTGGACAACGAGGAAGAGGAATTCTTCTTGGAATTAAGTGATACAGTTTATCAATTACTTCAAAAGTGATACATTTCTTGCTATGAAGAAAAAGAACTGTGCCAAAAATGCTTACTTTATCTGTAATTAGGAAAATTGCCCAGCCTGAATAAGGTGCCAGCAATGTACTTGGTATCTATTGGATACTTTTAATTATTTCCAATTATTGTTTGTGGCACTTTCCCTACAGTATGTGGTCCTTGGTCCGCGCAAGTTTGCGATGCCCTTGGTCCGCGACTTTTCCGAAAATGATAAAATATTTCGTCGAGAAAAAAAATACGTTGAATAATGAAAGATATAGTGATTTAATGATTAGCATTCTTTCATACGACGAAGTTTCGGCCTTCTTGCTGCGGGTGAAGACGCTTAATTAAAGTTTGTTGACAGGTAGGTTAATTTGTCTTTCTTGAAGTTTGGATTTTTGCAGCACCGTAAATTACATGGTCATGTTTACTTGGCCTGCGGATAAATAAAACGCAACGGGAAGACGTGCCTTCTTGCAGAACAGGTTTTCGGATCAACTTATTTCTGCTGTTGGAAGCATATTGCTGTAGACTCTGAATTTTTTGTTTTATCGACTCTTGAAAAATATAACCAAATTTCGCTTAGCGGTCCTTGGTCCGCGACCTATGACCTTGGTTGAATAACACTTCCCAAAATAAAAAGCGACGGCCTTTGTTTTCGGAGAATGTTTTGAAAATCGTCTCACAAGTTCTCTTTTTTTAATACCTCGAATACATACGGAGTTTTTGCTAATTATTTTCGACCGCGCTGAACACCGCTCTTCGTCGCTCGTGTAGGAGACTCGAGGAGACTGTTGTCTGAAGTCTTTGAAAGAAAAGCAGATTATTTTATACTCACAACATCTTCCGAAAAAAACTTTAGCTTAATTGCATCAAGAACAGAAAACAATGCATGAAACATTGTGAAAATCACATTTTCGTGTTGAAACTATAACATTTTTACCTTTTTTTCGTGTTGCTTACCTGAGACGCGGACCAAGGACCACATTCGCGGACCAAGGACCATCAAAAACGGTCGCCTTTTTTTCGAATTCCAAGCAAAATATTAAGGTCTGGAACTTGAAACTTCAGGATTATCGAGAGGAACATAAAAGCTATCTTCGGGGAGTATTTCAACTCGTTACGTGAAGATTCGGATAAGATATTCAGGTTAATGACTTTCAGACGCCGACCAAGGACCACATACTGTAACTAAAACTCTGTTTGTGTGTGTATCAGGTTCGAAACTTTGGGCGCCTTCCATTCAACCCAAAAGTCCGGAAATTTCGCTTGGTTCATCAAATGGAACGGACCATTTTGCTTTGGTCCGACCGGAATATTCGGGACCAGCTTTGAAGGTGGTCCACTGTGACCGGTCTAGTCATTTCGGTCGAAATGTCCCTTTCCATTTGCCAAAATTGTTGTCCCCAGTACCGCCCTTTTGTATCCTGCTTGCAAGACCATGGAGTTCCCAATGGAAAGTAAAGTGCTGTGAGTAAAGCATGACATCTCAAATAGTTGGAATCAGTTGCAATTTTTTCGATTTTTGATATTTGCCATTAACAGTTTCAAATAAGTGACGCAACACGACACGTAGGTGAAAAAAAGTGTGTGTAATCAAGCTACAATTGTGTAAAAGTCCGTGAGAATCAGCGTATTATTTGTCTGAAACCTGTCGACGATATTTAACTAAAGCAATTTATCAATTAAGCTGAAATGAATTCAACAAAGCCTGGCTGAATACAAATTGGCTAAAACACCGAATTTATTTACCGTTCAGTTCAGGAATTGCTTCGAATCGTTCGAATATTCTGAGAAACGTATTGCTTCAATTCGCAAGAATTTTTTACCTTCACTTGCATTCATAGGCTTTCTACACGAAATAGGATTCCTCCTCCCTTAGTTTTCCACCGCCCCTTTTCGACAGTCGAGTGTTCTTTAGGATATAAATTTACTTTTTCTCTTTTAGAGCGTAATTATGAGTATGCTGCGAAGCCACAATGACAAAACGCGCGATGGCTTGGTCTGTGCCACCGGAATGTACCGTTTCATTGAGCACGTGAAGTTTCCGAAATTTCAAACCGGAATTTTTGTTGAATGGAAAGCGCCCTTTGAGTTCATTTCGTTCAAGGAACAGTATCCCGTTACTGCGCATGCACCAAACTTTGATTTTTGGACAGCTTTTTTGGAATCAAAAGATGCGAGGGGAGTAAGAGAACCTTGAAAAATCCGTTTACATCGCGCTTGGCTGGAATCAATACGACACTAAAACTTCTCAGGATTACAGATCAATGATATATTGTTCCTGTTAAGTTTCGATTTGGACAAAATCTGGATTTTTTGGCGTTACTTAATTGCCGTTGGCCGGAGGACCAAAAGATTGAAAGCACTTTGATGCCGATTGAAGGCTAGCTTCTGCTAGCTTCCATACAAGCTCAGATAATTGTGAAAGGAATACGCAGAAATGAAACAGCAACAATAAAGACTGTACGAAAGAAACCATTGAGACATGGTGATGTGACTGAGGAGATCTTGTGGAGGGGAGCCTCGTGAAGCAGAATGTTTTGCAACGACGCGTTAGTAAACTTTTAAATGAATCTCCCTACGGCCGACAAAATCAAACAAACAGGCGCTACATGTTTAGAAAAACTAGTGCCATGAAATCATAATAGGTTTTTGCTTTTGCTTCGTTTCGTTTGGTTTCGAAAATTACAGCTTTAATTTGCAAACCTGACCGCGATCAAAGTAGTTAAGCTTAAAATAAATTGAGCATAAATTTTAAAATTTAACCTGTGGCTTAAATCGAGACGTCCCGCCAAGCCCTGCCAAAACTTTTCAAGAAAGCTAAGCCAGAATGTAAACAAGAAAAGCTAGTCGAGGTTAGTCGAGGTTGCTCAGGGGCACCCAAAGACAATTTTCGGAAAAATATCTGTTCGGAGGGCGATTTGAGATCTAGAATTTTAGGAACATTTGTTGTAAAATTTCTTGCTTGCCTGCTTCTCCAAGGATTTTCGAACATATAAAATATGGTATAATTGCCTATTTTTAACGGATTTTTACCCTAAAAAGGTCACCTAGAATTTTCGAGAGCCTTTTTTCTGGCAGAAATTTTCGAAAAGGTAAGTTTTGATCTCTATAATTTTCGGATCACTAGACTTTCAGCTAGGAAATCCGAACAGATGAAAAATTTTTAGGGGATAAAAATATGCCTATATCTACAGTTTAAATACCAAAATACGTTTAACAATGCTATGTTTTAGTGGTTTTGAACTATATTCTCGTTGGGTGCCCCTAGTTGCTTCTAAAACAAACTCAAAATGTAAAAGCCTTAAGAGGTTTATAAATGATTAACGTCGGCAGCCGTTTTCATAACATTTCCGGCTTGAATACTCGACAAGCAACAAGACAGTCTACACGTCCAATAACAAAATGAATAAAACCCAAACTGACCTTTACCGAACAATGTTGCTAAGGTATCGATGTAAGTTTGGCTGTTATTATACTCTTCATAGCGTGTTGTACCCCTGAAATCGTACTCTTCTCTCCAGTGTACGTGAGCATTGCCATGAAACTCAATCCGTAGGCCTCGCAGTTTTAACTCCTTATTCACTTTGAGACGAAGGGTTCCATTAATTGCCTCCCCTGGGTAAAACGTCCTTTTCTCTCCATAAAATTCAACGACGAAGTAATCAATCTTGCCCATGGTTTAACAGCTGACATTAGTAGTCTTTACACTAGAGCCTAAATAAGCTAAGAAATATTTCCAGACAAGTGAATTTTCTGAATTTTAATTACTTCAAGTAAAATAAAGCTTCACACACGACCGGTTTTTTTTTACTTCAGGTTATTTTCCCACGCAACAAAATTAAGATTGATTGACTTGTCTCGCCTTTCTCAAAACTCAAGAAACCGCAAAACCGCAAGTCAGCTAAGTCGCTCGTGATGGGGCGTCGATAGCACCCGCAACATGGAACATTCCGGAACATTCCGGAACATGAAAAATAAAAATAATTTTCATGAAAACAAAAATAATAAAATAATAATAATAAAATAGTTTTTGTAAAAATTAATAATCACGTAAAATAACAAAAAAAAACCAAAAAATAATGAAATAATCAAGAAAAAGAAACTGGTATCCTCTCTGAGTTTGAGAAAACAATATTTTGTCGCAACAAATTAAAATTTGTTGGGCGAGTGAGGGTTCATGCAAATGACAGTAATGAGTGAAGGCTTGTTTCTAAATTCAAAATATCTTAAAATGGGTCGCGAGGAGGGGGTTTTCAAGCTTTCCTCACACAGCCACCTCTTGTAATTGTTTGCCATAAGTTAATCATTTGGCGGTTAACCATTTACGGTTCTGCAATGGTCTGAAATGTCGGTGCAGTATTTCATGTCAAGCCAAGTCGGTAAGTAGCTCATTTCAAGCCGACATATAGTCTCCTTATATATATTAACCGACATTTGCTTACCTGGGGTGCTTTGCTTCACTTGAGGTTGACATGAATTACTTACATTTACAAGAGGTGGCTGTGTGAGGAAAGCTTGAAAACCCCCTCCTCGCGACCCACTTTAATATATTTTGAATTTAGAAGCAAACGTTCACTCATTACGGTCATTTGAATGGACCTTCACTCGCCCAAAAAATTCATTGCGACAAAATATTGTTTTTTCATACTCGGAGATGATACCAGCTTCTTTTACTTTCTTTCTTTCTATGTTTCGTTATTTTTCGTTTTTATGTTATGTTATGTTATTTATTTTTGTTATTATAAATTTTTGCAAAAAATGTTTTCTATCTATTTTTCTTTTTATTATTTATTATTATTATTATTATTATTATTTAATTAATTAATTATTTTTTGATAAAAAAATGTTTTTATTTCTTCATGTTCCGGGATTTTCCGGAATGTTCCGGAATGTTCCGGGATGTTCCATGTTCCGGGTTTTATCGACGCCCCTCATGAGGATGGTTTTCAAGTCGCTTGAAACTTTCTTGAATCGTTTCAACTTTCCGAGTTTAATGAGATGCAAAGCAAAGTTACTTGAAATTTTACTTAGGCCTTCACACACGAATTTTTGGTTAAGTAAAACTTAGCAGATCTTAAGTCTTACTTAACAGCCCAGTGTAAAGACAACCATTCAACCGTAATTACATCCCTACAGCCAAAGTTGAGTGGGGAGATAGAAAGATAGGCTAGTAATATGTGCAGAGGGCTAAAATGACCCCACGTGCGAACTAAAGTCGTGCCCGATAAGACCTGGGTAAGTGGATTTTGCGATCGGGCCAGTGAATCATGTTCTTTTAATAAGTTAAAACTTGTTAAACCGTCAAGTGAAGTCTTAAAAATAATCGAGTAATTCTATTATTAATTCTGCTTGTTATTTGGGCGTGGCCCAAATAGAGAAATGGAAGCGGCTTGTTTTGACGCAAAAGTCCAATAGGCACGCAATACGTGCTAACGCAAGTAAGGCTAGTAAACAAGCGAAGCGAGGCGAATGTCTGCCAATGCGAACGTCATTCAACACTACATATTCTCCTTCATTGTTTTCGTAAAGTAAACCAAAATCCATAAAACGTGTCGTCGGAATCTCACGCAAAATGTAGATTTTTTAAATCATCAACACCCCCAGGCGGATTCATAAAAAAACTCTTCTAGTATTTCCAATTTGAACTTGAATTTGCACCACCCCTTGTTGACACATGCAGACTTTAAAAATAGAATACGCTCCCACGAAAAACCCAAAAACTTAGACAGCACGTGATCAAAACATGTTCGTACGGCGCCAAAAACGTTATCAATTTCACCGCAGAGACTAACCGACAACGTTTCATTGGCCAAAAAACTGACAGGTTGAAATGTGAAACTACGCGCAGAATTCGTCGCCCTTCAAGGATGGTAGTAATCCCACGATATCATTTGATCCGCAATTTTTCAAAGTAGCAGGAAGAAACAGTTCGGAAAACATTTGGCGACGGTTTTTCGAGGAACGTATTGTTGAAGTGAGTGTAGCTAAATGTCGTGGGTCGTGGGTCGTGGGGCGTGGGTAGAGGTCGTGGGTCGTGGGTGTGGGTGTGGGTAAATGTAATGGGTAAAAAAGTATAGAAAAAAAAATATAAAGTAAAGTAATTGAAAAAAGCTCAAGCATGTTAAGGCATGGCCTGAGCCTAATTTCCATTAAATCTTATAATGATCATAACCTTGTGAAAATGTACCAGAACCTATCAAAATTTTGTAACCTCAAAGATATCAGTAAACGTAATTTTCCTGTTACGCAAGAAACCATATTAGTGTGTCACGTGACCAGTTAAGGTCAAGTCCAGGAAAGAAGAGAAAACTAAAAATGGGGTGGCGAGATGCCACACAGTAGATATTAAATACATTATTTTTGCTATTCTATCATGGTTCACCTCGCATGATTATGGCCGGAATGGTTGACTCCCATTTTTATTTCATCAACAATTAAGCAAAATAGGTCACGTAACACTTTTTATCTGCTAATATCTTTTGAAGAAATTAAGAATTCTCTCCTTTCCGGCCACGGAAAAACTTTGTACCAAAAACCAAACAATTACACATGGTTCAGAGTTACTTGTAATGAACCATCCCTACCCCATTTAGCATTTTCTTTTGTATATCACTACGTTTCACGTGACCACATCAGTTCAACCCTAATCGATTCAATGCCTCAAAAGAAAATTCCCGAAAGTTTTTAGCAACTTTTAGAATTAAAATGCATGGCGGTAGAAGGAAAAACAGTTTTAAATTGAGCCATGCCTTAATATGCTTGAGAGAAATAAATAGAAAAAAGTTGTAAAATATATTGTGAAACGAATATCTCCAACTCCTTGATTGCCTTTTTCGTCACGGCTTCTTCGTCCTCTTCCTGTGGGACTTGACTCCCCTTTCACAACACCACTGTGTAAAAGACAGTTTGCCGATGAAGATTTATCCATAGTTGAGCTATCGCCGCGAAATAAACGAAACAGACGTAAATTATACCTGCAATTTGTAGAAAGTATGGGACAGCTCTGACTCGCTGAATGGAAATAGCTGCTCACTATTTATCTTTATTTGATCTACAATTCCAATGATCAGTGGAGATTTTTTAACATGATGGAATGCGATCACCGTGAGAAAGGGAAGGGAAAAGGACAATTTTTAGGTATTTCATATTTTTGGATAGAAGTGTTTCTTAAAGAAGTTTTAGGTCTCTTACCTTACGAAGGAACCACCTTCATTCCCAACCTTTCAAGTTAAGGCGAGACTGTATGTAAATTTTATTGCCGTACGGAAATACAATTGTCTCGATTACTTTTTGTTTTGTTTTGTGTACAAACTCTTTGCTGTAACGATTCGAAATATCACTCCTTAAACTGAAAGGACGTTTCAGTCACGAATGTTGACATCTTTGAGAAAAAGCAGTTGAGTCTCCAGTTTTTGTATAGCCTGCTTCAGGTGCACATAGTGCACAGAGTTTCTTTTATTTTTCACCTAAATGTCTTTTTAGTGTCCGTTTGTACTATAGGATCGGTTATTTGCTGAAGGGGAATAGGACTGGTATGTACGCGGAGATTTTCGTTTCATGAATTTTACAACTTTTGCTATTTAATTTTTTAATTTTTTCTTTTTGGAAGACTTTTTTGTACCCACGACATTACCCACACCCACACCCACGAACCACACCCACGACCTACGATTTGAGAGTCGCAAGATTTGTGTAGCTGGTGATCAGTGTGACAATAGTGATTTTGATTTTCACAATGCGTAAGACAAGGAGTTGCCTGTGATAAAAATCTCCTCCGATAAAGAAAGGGAATATTGTCAACTATTGAAACCAAAAGGGACTCAGGCTTCTTTGGGAACTACAGCACTGACAGCGGTAACAATTCTTCTTATTCTTTCAATTTTGTTTTTCATGTAATTGTGTATATTGTGACGCGGTACATGTACGATGCTCGACGTCGCGTTTTTGCATTATCAGCAAGTTTTGTGTATAGGGTGTTTTGATGTCAGTGAGGTGACGACAAGAAAAGGTAATGAGTCAATTGTACAGAAGGAAAATTATTTTGTGGAGGAAATAAACGAAGTTGAATTGACATCTCGTCGTGGGAAATTTATTTATAACAGAACTTACAATCCAGTTGGTTTAAATAAGGTTAGTCATTTTTCTCGACGCGGTAGTGCACCTAGCAGACTACCGATGAAGAAATTAGTGAAGACTTTTGTATGGAAGGGAATTCTGAAAAATACACCATTGTCGTCTAAAATTCATTGTTACGTTAAAAATAGAAATGGTTTATACTTAAACTGGCACAGAAGTAACTGTAAGAGTGTGAGGTTTTTACTTAGGGCAAGTCCAGAATTAGTTCGAAAACAAGGGAAGGTACGTTCATCTGTCGTCTTAGCATAAAAGAAGAGATTGTGAGGATTGTCACGATTGGCCCTGAGGAAGGAATTGATCCGAAAGGTCATTCTCAAGGGCCAATCGTCCCAATCCTGATTGGTGGGGTCGTCTCCACGAACATACGCTACCACAACCTCTTGCGTTAAGAAACCTGTCATGCTCCCGGAAATCAAATCGTCTATCGTAAACCCATCCATCATTCTGTTGCAATAGTTGCATACAGAGCTATCGGTGGGGTGGGCTACCCACTGGTAAATATGGCAAATGAGTTGGTCCTCTAGGGTAGTCAAGGAATCT